TATCTGTGGATGGCTTTAGCCAAGGAGATTTGGGGTAGTGTGACAGAGACATATTCTCAGAAATTAAATGTTGCAAGGGCCTACAAACTAAAGAGTGATGTGAAGAATTTAAGACAGGGGGAGAAGAGTGTGGCTACCTATTATTCGATGTTGAAGTCACTATGGCAGTAGTTGGATGTTATGGAAACATTTGCATGGGAAAGCACCAAAGATGCCAAAATTTTTAGGAAATTTGTGGAAAGAACCAGGGTGTTTGAGTTCCTTACAGGACTCGATCCTAAATTTAATATTACAAGGCAGAATATTTTGGCCAAGGATGATGTGTCACTTGCACATGCATACTCTATGGTGAGCAGTGAAGAGTGCAGGCGACATGTACAACTACAAACCCCACCTCCTCTAGAACATTTTGCACATGCTGGAATAAAACCAAAGGGACTGAATGAGAAAAAGGAAATGATATGTGAATACTGCAAGAAGCCGAAACATACTAAGGATTATTGTTGGAAGCTTCATCCAGATCTTCTTCCTGAGAGGTTCCAGAACAACAACAACTCTAAGAAGGGTGGGTGGTTAGTCTGGAAGACCCAAGAATGCAAATGTTGCCTCAGTGTCTGAATGTGATGAAAAATTTGCTGTGGAACAGTTGGCAGCAGTGAAGGCAGAATTTGAGAGATATGGGAAATTGATAAATCACTTGGAGTCTACTGTTGCCTCTTCCTCCTCAGGCACCCCATCTACATCAGCTTTTGCCCATTCAAGTATTCGTGCTTCTGCAAATCATGCTACAATTTCAGGTAGTCGTAGAATTCCTTGGATTATAGATTCTGGTGCATCAGATCATATGACTAGCCTACCCAACCTCTTTTGCTCATACCAGCTCCTCTCGGGTAGAGAGAAGATTTTTCTTGCCGATGGGTCTCTTGCTCCCATATCTGGCAAGGGGAATATTAAAGCCTCTGATTCACTTGTTTTGTCCTCTGTCCTTCATATTCCCAAACTTAGCACTAACCTATTATCTGTTAGTAGTTTAACCAAATCATTGAACTGCAGCATAACTTTCTTTTCTACTTATTGTGTTTTTTAGGATCTGAAGTCTCAGAGGATGATTGGGAGTGGCCATGAGGCGAATGGGATATACTTGCTGGATGTCTCTGATCAAAGTCTTGGATTACCTAGTGGAGTTGCTTTGGAGTCTGTTTTATCAGAGTCAGTGAATAGAGTCATGATATGTCATTTCAGATTTGGTCATTTGTCTTTTTCATCTTTGAGTCATTTGTTTCTAGAAATGTTTAAGGGAATACCCCTATCAAGTCTTCATCGTGTGTCATGTGAACTTGCTAAACATTGTAGACAATCTTTTTCAGTGAGTAATAAAGGATTTGTTTCTCTTTTCCATATTGTGCATTCTGATGTGTAGGGGCCATATCATTTACCTGCTATGGGGGGCTACAAATATTTCATTATTTTCATTGATGATTTCTTTCGTTACACATGGATATACCTTCTAAAATCCTGGGATGAAGTACCAAATATTGTACAAARGTTTCATGAACTTATTCTTACCCAGTTTAACACTCGGATCAAAATATTCCGATCTGATAATGCAAAGGAATATTTTGAGAAGAGTCTCTCCTTCTACTTTGATACCTTTGGAGTTATTCATCGGAGTTTCTGTTCCTACACTCCTCAACAAAATGGAGTGGTGGAAAGGAAAAACAAACATGTGGTTGAGGTTGTGAGGAGCCTTCTTTTTGCTTCCCATGTTCTTGTTAAATTTTGAGGTGATGCTGTTCTTACAGCTACATACTTGATAAACCAAATGCCTTCTTAGGTTATGGGGTTTAAAACTCCCTTTAGCTTGCGATGTCCATGTTCACAGTCATCAAAGACATAAGTTTGAGCCTAGAGCACACATGTGTGTCTTTTTGGGATATGCCTCCACACAGAAGGGGTACTGTTGTTTTGATCCAGTTCATGGCACTCGCTTTGTTTCTAGAGATGTCACATTTGCAGAGTCAGTCCCTTTCTTTGGTATGAGGGGGAGCATTTAGATGAGTTGTTTGCATTGTCACCATCTATTCCCCTTCCAATTCCCATTGAATCTTCCATAAAGTCTACTCCAGTTGAGTCATCTATCCTTGCTCCCCCTCCTCCTCCTACTCATCCCCCTTCTTTTTCTTTCCCATCCTATTATCCAGAGGTGGTACTAGAGACAAAGACTCAGAGACATGCAAGTTGTTTCCACGCCTTCAGATGTACCTCTTGCTCCTCCAATCACTACTGAGATAACAGGTCAGCCCTCTTCTACCACTTCGGATACCTTCCCTGACCTTGATCTCCCTATTGCCCTTCACAAAGGCAAACGGAAATGCACAGCTCATTGTATTTCCAAACACTTGTCCTACAACCTCCTTTCCCCTTCCTACTATTCCTTCCTTGCCTCTGTTTCCACACATGTAACTCCCCGGTCTGTCCCATATGCCTTGTCCAAACCAAAATGGAGAGATGCTATGATGACTGAACTAGATGCTTTGCATAAGAACAATATTCTGGGAAATTGTGGATTTGCCTGAGGGATGGATATCTATGCTCGCTGTAAGTGGGTGTTCACTATTAAGTATCATTTTGATGGTACTGTTGAGAGATATAAGGCCCGTTTGGTTGCTAAAGAATGTATGGTATTGACTACTTAGAAACTTTTGCCTCAGTAGCCAAGATGACTTCAGTTTGGGTTTTGCTATCTTTAGCTATTGCTTTTGACTGTCCTCTTCATCAATTCGATGCAAAGAATGCCTTTTTGAATGGGGACCTAAATGAAGAAGTCTATATGTCTTTACCTCCAGGGGTGTATGGGAAGGAGATGCAAGGAAAGGTCTGTAAACTGAAGAAGTCTCTTTATGGCCTTAAGCAGTCTCCTAGAGCATGGTTTGATAGATTTCAGGCTGCTCTTGTTGCTTTTGGATACACACAGACTCAGTCGGATCATACTTTGTTTGTTAAGGGGAGAGATTCCTTAGTGACCCTCCTGATTGTCTATGTTGATGATGTTGTGGTTACAGGAAATGATACTCGGGAAGTTGTTCATCTCAAGAGTTTTCTTAACACTAAGTTTGAAATTAAAGACTTGGGAGAACTCAGATATTTCTTGGGAATTGAAGTTGCTAGATCTAAGGATGGTATCTTCATTTCTCAATGGAAGTATGTTCTTGATCTCCTTGCAGAGACTGGGAAACTAGGGGCTCGACCTGCTTCTACTCCTATAGATTTAAATCATAAGTTGTTAGCGACTGAAGGTGAACTATTGCTTGATAAGGGGGTGTTCCAGAGACTGGTTGGGAAGTTACTTTATCTTTGCATGACTCAGCCAAATATCTCCTATGCTGTTAGTGTAATAAGCCAGTTTATGCATTCTCCCAGAGATACACATTTAGTAGTTGTTGAGAGAGTTCTGTACTATCTAAAAGGGACTCCAGGGAAAGGTATTTTGTTTGCTAAGTATGGACACATGAAGTTGGAAGCATACACTGATGCTGACTGGGCCGGATGTATTGATGATAGGAGGTCTGCTTCAGGTTACTATGCTATGGTAGCAGGGAGCATTGTATCGTGGAGGAGTAAGAAGCAGTCTGTAGTGGCAAGATCTTCAGCTGAAGCGGAATACAGGGCAATGGCACATGGAGTTTCTGAACTTCTGTGGTTGAGATCACTTTTAGATGAATTGGGTATAGACTGTGAGAAGCCAATGATGTTATATTGTGACAACCAGGCTGCTATCAACATTGCACGCAATCCTGTTCAACATGACAAAACTAAACACATTGAGGTTGACAGGCATTTTATACGAGAGAGAGTTGCCTCAAGAGAATTCTGTCTACCATTTGTTGCTTTTGAATAATAGTTGGCTGATGTTTTGACAAAAGGTGTTCCTAAAGGAAAGTTGGTTCATTATATAAGCGAGCTGGGCATGATGGATATCTATGCTCAGCTTGAGGGGGAGTGTAGAGAGACTGGGCCAAATGGGCCCTAGCCCATTAGTGTCTTTCTTATTAGTTCTTTCACGTTATGTTTTCTTATTGGGCCTTTAGTTCTTTTTATGTTTTTCTAAGTTTAGTGCCGATGTGGACGCCTACTTAAGGACCTCCTTGTAATTTATGTAACTTAAGTATGTTTTATAAAAGATAAGAATAGGGGAGAAAGGAGACATTCGAACTCCTCCTTTCTTTCTCCTTTCTTCTCCAATCTTTTTCCTTCTTCTTGCTGTCTCCTTCTTCTTCTCTGATTTATTTTACCTTATTCTGAAATATTCTACTGATTTTATTAGTTTTGAATCACATCTGTGCACAACCTCTTTTACAGAAACCCCAAACCCCACAATGCCCAAAACCTCTTGACTTGTCTTTCAAGCCATAAAGATATATACAAGAGAAAAACCCCCAAACTACATAACTCTTTGTATTTGTCTTGGACCCATAGTACCCTCAGTGGTGGTTAGTGGTGGGCTATGGGCTTGGGCCTAGCCTATGCTTCCACCACAAACCACCATGAAATTTTGCCTTCGGGTTTTTTCTCAACTTAATTCGGAGTGGGTCATGAAACGGGTTGCAATAATGAATTCCAAGGCACACATAACATTTTTAGTGTTGTGTGCATGCATATGTACTAGCTTGTATTTTTAAGTGATCTAATTACCTAGACAATAATCAGGATCTATCAGTTAATTCCTATCTGACTTCTTAAGGACAATTTTGCCCATTTGATTTAACAGTATAATTATTAATTCTCTTCATAAGTTTGTGTTACAATTTTTCCCTAAAATGTAAATAGTATCATGAGTATTGTTCATGAAGGTTTTACCATCTCTCTTGTCTTAATGTGATAATAACCATGAGTATTGTTCATGAAGGTTAATCATACACTGTTCTGTAAAAAGAATGATGGTTGCTACATCTTTCGGGAAAACTGGTCTCTTTAATGTGTCCCGTTCTTCAATTTTCCAGGATATCAGGGCATTATTTCCTCATGATTGCAACCCATTCTATGCTGGTTTTGGCAACAGAGACACTGATGAGATTAGCTACCTTAAAGTTGGAATTCCCAAAGGGAAAATCTTCATCATAAACCCTAAGGTAATCTCAGAGTCCAAGTTCTACCGAATGGGGGTAGTAAAAACCAACCCTGTGTCATAGCCAACTTACTTGTTGATGGTTTTTACAGGGCGAGGTTGCTGTGAACCGTTCGGTTGACACAAAATCCTACACATCCCTTCATGCACTTGTTAATGGCATGTTTCCCGCCATGTCCTCATCTGAGCAGGTTCAGTTTGCAAACATAAATTATTTTTCATCCTGATCTTATTCCAATTCACTCAAGGACAAGGAACCCTTCATGATGCTACCTTTTATTGTTGCCTATCAAAGAAAGACATGAATTCCAGATTTTGGTTGGCCCATTGAGGCTTGATTGGAAGTTTTATAAACTGAGTAGTCTTCTAACTCCAGGAGAATGAACACTTGCCATTTACACTGCCTAACTTGGTTCTGAGTTGAATCTAGAGTACCATGCATCCCCCTGTAAAGGAAAAAAAATCAATTTGCAAAATGAAAAACTGTATTCTAAATTTTGGTTCACCCCTTCTTGATACCATCTTTTATATCTTTGGTCAGAATTGAATCAAGATCACCATCTTCCTCCCAAAAAAAGGAAGAGAAAACAATTTAATTCCTAAGTTTTGATTGGTCATTTCAGCTTTGGTTGAAAATTTTGTGAATTGATTTATCTATGAACTCCAGGAAGACTTCAACTCATGGAACTACTGGAAAATGCCTCTTCCCAATATCAACATTTGATGATACCGACAAGACATTCTTGTTTAACTCCTTGGATTGTGATGCAGGAGGATGTCAACATGCCAGTTCTTGAATGAGCAGGTAGAATTTCTGTTTTATATATGCTCTTTATGGTTTTTATTTTTCATCTCTATGTGATTATGCACCACCACACCCTAACAAAGACAATGAAAAGGTTATGTTAGTCCAACTCATCAAGGTTTCAAGTAGTGGTGGTACCCTAAAATCTGAATCAGCAATGATGCTGCAATATCAAATTTTCAGGCCACTTATAATTAGAATAAATTGCAAACTTAATACATCTTTCAATCTCTAATCTGTATCATTTTTCTTGATTGGTATCTCAAATTTCTATCATCTCTCAAGAGGGATGAACTGATTAGAAAAGGACTATCTATTTAATCTAGTGTCTCTTAAATAGATTTGCAAGCATTTTACAGAAATCCATGAACTTGGGTGCGTTGAAATGCTCAAGATAGGAAAAGGAATATAGAAGCACCAAATTCAGGTATAATCATAGGGTCCTGAATGTGGCTATCAGATCATAGGGTGAAATTAAAGGAGCAAAAGAAATTGGAGCAAAACTTGAAAGCTCAAAAGTTTTTGGGTGCTGCTGGAATGCAAGTGAGCTAGGTAATTTCTCTTTCTTCTGTGCCAATGTAAGGGAGATAATATTGAAGTTGGAGAATATATGTCCAATATTGGCAATCTTTTATGTGTATGTTAGTAAAGAAATTGAAAGAAACCAACTGAGAATGTTTCCTAAATTTGAGAGCTCCATAATCCATACAATAGCAAAACCTTGCTCGTGCATTCATACAAGATTATACCCATCCAGGGTGAATAGCATTAAAAAGAAACTGATGAATTCAAAGTTTGGACTTACTGGAATGATATCCTGTCTTTATTTGGGAAACTTGCTAGTAGTGTCTAGCTTTGCTGAGAGAAATATTCTCTTATTGCAACATAGTTCCCAATCTGTGTGCAAAAGCAGCACCTCCTTCTGATGGATTAGATCATTTAGAATTTTAGATATATTCTATTAAACCTGACTCTCATTGGTATGCATAATATGTTACAAAACATTTATTTTAGAAAATATTCATTTTTTAGTGTTTTAATTCCACAAAAATATTAAGAGAAGCAAAATATTGTTCAAAACTAGACAAGGGACGGGGTAAAATAACTTGCACCTTTTTCCAAAGGTAAGGCATTTTACTTGGTGTTTTGATTAGATTGTAGTTTGTATTTTTAAGCACCCTACCTTATAACTATCTCCTAAAATCACTCGCATACAATGAAGCTTTTGACTTTTTAGAAATCTCTCTCCTCATGCTGGCCTAAAATCTAATTGTTCTCTACTTCTCTTATGACTCCACTTTTCCCAGTTTGTTTCAAAGTTGCAATCAAACATTAGAAAAATTGAAAAATAGTACTTTTACAAATAAGTATTTTTCTGTTACAATTTTCTTATTCCAAAATATTATTTGGGAATTAAAATGCAGCCTTTTTTTTGCAAAGCCCTTGAAAATAAACAGGGATTCTATCTTTCTAAATCAGGACCTTTTTTCTTACAAATTAGAGTGTCTATGTGTGTAGGGGGGGGGATTGCTTGGTCTAATGCTAAAATATTGGGCTGTCAAGTTTGAGAATGTGTTTGAGTCTGAGGATAGTCACCTTGTTCAGAAATTGGAGGTTGGATTTGTATCCAATCCACCCCTCCCAAGACCCTGGACAGTCAGGAACAGCATTGGGTAATAGCCTTTTTGTGTGTGTTCCGTTTGCAACTAATTGGTAAAATAAAGACAAAGCAATCCTCCCTGAAACTTAGCTATTTTCTGATATTCATAGGCAATTGATTGAGCTGGTTATATTTTGGACTTTGAAGCACTCAAGAATATTCATAGAGGCCAAGTGTGGCACAAGTCTATACAAGAACGGTCTAGAAGAAACAAGAAATTTGAATATGGATATACTTAGTGGATGCCAAAAGAAAGCTGAAATTAAGTGATAGGTGAACTTTCCCCAAGGGGCCATCTCTTGATCTCTGGCTGACAAGTGTGGGAGCATGAATTTGAATCTCAGAGTGGTCAATTTGTGCAATAAAATGTTTGAGGTTGGATTTGTTACTTCTTATCCAGTCCACCCTTCCCAAGACCTCAGATATCTAGGATCAGCACTGGATAATGGTCCTAGGTGAAGCTTCTTTGGAGTTGGCATTTCAGTATGCCTCTTCATTTCCCTGTAAACAATGGTTTTAGGCTGTAACTAACAGAATATGAACTTTATCTCTGAAAGATCTACACATACATATCATGTATTTTGGGAACCAGAGAGAGCTAACAGAAGACCAAGAATATTTGATTGACCTCAAAGAAGACACTTTCCTCTATCATCTCATCATATAAACTTGTTGATGGCTACCCTGTCTCTGAGCGTAGGGAACTATACCTGTGTTTTGTTTGGGACCCACTATCCATGTGATAAATTTAGGCTGTTTTTATTTTATGTTAGAAGGCTAAATTAGGTTATATTTGTAAATAACAACCAATTTTTATCTGGAAGAATGGGATACACCTATGTTACTCAGATACGGCAAAGACATGGATGGATGCAGTATTGGATACAAAATTTATGCTAAAAATTGAAGTGTCCAATATGATATGACACCTTTGTAATTTGTATAGGTATCTGGGCATAGGTATCCAATCCAATCTAACGTATTGAAAGCCTTTCTGTTGGGTCTTTTATTCGAGTTGAATTAGATTTGATTCATTGATGGACACGAGTTAACTTTTTAATCTAAGCTAAAATTTATATACCATTATTTCTGGGCAGAAAAGCTAGTTTGAAGGAGAAATCCTCTTTTCTGAGAGATTTGCTTAGATATATTAGCTAATGACTTTGTGGGACAAGTACTTGTCCTATTTTATTTAGGAACCCTTGTCTATGTTGCAAGTCTCTGAAGCGTTAAGGGCTGCCCTTTTGATTTATTTCTGAAACCAAATTGGTTTATCTTTTAGGCTGTTCTTTTTTATTTGACTGGAAAATTAAATTAGTGAATCTATTATCCAGGTGGTAAGTCCTAAAAATATTTGTGCTGGTTTTTTATTTCACTTGGGAAAGTACATTAGATTTTATTTGTGATCAAATTCGAATTAGGAAACAGCTAGCTTTTAGATCTTTATGAGACCCACATTATTCAGTCCCTTTTTCTGTGAAGAGGGCTAACCACGTGCTTGGAGAAGTCCTCTGTGTCTTAAGGGCTTTGCTTTGAAGCATTGAATGTTATTCTGGCCACTTTATTCTGGTTATTTCAGGGTAAATTATGTCCTGTAATAAACTCACTTGGGGTGTTATGTGCATGGTGTAGGTGCGGGTTAGATGCAATATATGGCATCATAGCAGCAAGAGAAGGGTCACTCTGGCGGCTACTTGTGCTTAGTTCATTCATTGGTAGCGAAAAGCTGGAAACTGGTGTACAGAGATGAATGATGAATCTACCAAAAAAGTGGCAGATTGAATTGTATTCTTTTCTAGTTTAATTTATAAAGCTGTATAATAGTGTTATTCCATGTAAACTGATGAGCATTGCATTGTTGTATATGTTATGACTGATGCCCATGCTGGAAAAGAAATGGGTTATGGGTATACCACATATATATACATCCGAATCCATTCTACTTCTACATGTTCAAAATGAATCAGTTACAGGCAGGCTTACAGCTTGCTAAACTACTTGGTGGATGGGATTTACAGCCAACCTGGCCTAATGGGTAGACCTCCTAAGACCAGGTTTTTGGGCCTGCCTGTGACTGGGCTGTTTGACAACCCATGTAGTATGTATATGAAGACGGCCTCTAAAATGATACAACCACTTAGGGCTAACCCACTACAACCCATGTTTCATATGCATGTATTGGGGTTGGGGTAGTAGCTACTTAAGTTTTTTAAATTTAACAACTGCTATGTGGTCGTACTGTTGGCATACTTTCCTTGTCAAAATTTAATGTATTTCTGCAGTGCAATTAAGCACCTAATTAATATGACATATAAAAGCACATATGATAACGAAGTTGGTCCTAGATCGAGATCGAGATCGAGATCGAGATCGAGAGAACAAGTGATACATTACATACTACTTCAACACCAAATTTTGACGCAACTATCAATGACTAACAGTTCTACGTAGCCGTAGGCAGGGAGTCAAAAGTCTCAAAGATGGTAGATAATGATGGGCTTTCTGCGATGCCTCGGCCCACATTAATGAACCCATTGCCATTAGCATCGGCACCGACAGCCTATCAGCCACTATTCATTAGGGAGAACGGCTTCAATGCTCACAAAACCGTATTCACAGCCTTTTACTGATACACACTTGTGTATCAACTCCAGAACCTTCAGAGAACAGAAAGAATTGAGAATGAAAATGGAAAGAAGATAAGGAGAAGATGAGAAGAAATTGAGAGAAAGATGGGGGAAGAATTAGGGAAGAAAGTATTTGAGAGAAAATGACAAATTTGTTATCATTCCATAACCATCCTCATGCTAATCGAGGCTTATATACTGGCCTTTACATGAGAAATAGAAAGTAATTACAATTGTCTAGTAACAAATTACTAAAAATGGAAACATAACTAACTTGTACCAATGCTGATATCCATGAGCTGGACTGATGACTCAGCCATGTTGACCTAGCACCTTGTTAAGCCCTCAAATAGCCCTGAAATTGCCAGCAATTGTCAAACTGCCAATTGCATTTTATTCCTATCAATACTCCCCCTTTAAGAGTCCTTTTCCATAAGGACTATGTTTGGATACCAAGCTTGCAAGTCATAAAGATACTCCCAAGTAGCTTCTTCAACAGGCCTATGGCTCCATTGTATGAGGACTTGGGTTTCTGCCTGGTTGCCTCTCTTCATCCTTCTCCTAGCTAAAATAGCAGTAGGTTGAGGAGTATCTTCTGTAAACCAAGCAGGAATTTCATTGTGAGCTGTATGAGCTCCAATCTTCTTATTTAATTGTGAAATGTGGAAGGTGGGGTGAATCTTAGAAGAAGGTGGGAGGTCCAGCTTGTAGGCTACCTTACCAACCTTATCAAGCACCTTGCAGGGGCCAAAATAAAGAGGAGAAAGCTTATGGTTGTCTTTGTGAACTATAGAAAATTGCTTATAAGGCTTAAGCTTCACATAACCCCAATTCTCAATGTCAAGTTTCCTTTTAGATCTTCTTCTATCAACCAAGGTCTTTATCCTTTTCTGGGCTTCAGTCAAGTGATATTTTAGGAGTTGCAACATTGACTCTCTGTTTTGCAACTGTTGATCAATAGAAGTTACAACTGAATCTCCTGGGAAGTACGACACATGGATAGGACATAGGAGGAGGATACCCATATAAGGCCTCAAATGGAGAAGTGTGTATGGCTGTATAGAAGGTTGTGTTATACCACCACTCGACCAAGGAGAGCCACTTATCCCACTGTTTAGGTTGATCACAAGCCATGCATATGAGATAAGTGYCCAAGATTCTATTAACCACCTTTGGCCATTAGTTTGAGGGTAGCAAGAGTATGACAACAACAAATCCACGCTCTACAACTTAAACAACTCCTGCCAGAAGGTGCTCAAAGAGACAAAATCCCTATCACTTGCAATGGAATTGGATAAGTCATGAAGCTTAAAGACATGATCCATAAAGGATTGAGCCACCATGGAAGCTATAAAAGGGATGAGCTAGGGGCATGAAGTGAGCATATTTTGTAAATCTGTCTACTCCAACACAAATTACATCAAAGCCCTGTGACTTTGGTAGACCCTCAATGAAATCCATGATTATTGCTTGCCAAGCACCTTTTTGGAATCTGGAGAGGTTACAAGAGACTAGGAGTGGCTGAGTGATCATATTTGCATCTGTGACAGATGCTGCAAGCTCTAATGAACTGCCTCACATCTTTTGCCATCCTACTTTAGAAAAACACTGCCTGTATTCTCTTGAGGGTAGCATATACACTTGAATGGCCACAAATTGGTGTACTGTGCATCAGATGAATGATTTTCTTCCTTAAAGCAGGATCATTCCCCACAACCATTCTCCCCTTCCTATCAAGAACTACATTTTTGCAAGAATATCGTGTGTATGGGGTAATTGAAGAAACTTGAAATTCTTGGAGAGAATCTATGAGTTGTTGGAGATACGCATCCTTTTCCCAACTGGCTTGTATTTCCTCCAAGAGGCTAGATTGCATGTTTGGTACTGATAAAACAAACAACTCAGAATTGTGCACCCTTGAAAGAGCATCAATGACTACATTTTCTCTTCCCTTCTTATACTGGATCTCATAATCAAAGCCAAGTAGCTTTGTCAACCATCTCTGCTACCCATGGGTTGTGATATTCTGTTCCAAAAGATAATTCAAATCTAATGGTTAGTTTTCACAACAAAGTGCTTTCTAGTGAGGTAGTGTTCCCACCTCTTCACTACATAAACCAAGGCCAACAATTCTCTCTCATAAACTAAGAGTTGTTGGTGCCTTGATGATGAATGCAAGTGGGTGGCCTTCTTGCATCAAAACAACACCAATTCCCTGACTTGAAGCATTTGTCTCTACAACAAAACCCTTGGAAAAGTCCAATAAGAAAAGTACTGGTGTAGAAACCATGGCTTGCTTGAGCCTTTGGAAAGCCTCTTCTTCTTCATCATTCCACTTAAACCCATCATTCTTCAATAAAGAAATTAAGGGCTTGTTGATATGACCATAGTTCCTCACAAATCTCCTATAGTAACTTGTAAAGCCTAGAAATCACTTTAATTGCTTAACTATTGCAGGTGTTGGCCATTTAAGGAATGCTTCTACCTTCTTTGGATCAGTTGAGACTCCATCTGCAAAGATAAAATGACCATTTACTTAACCTTGGTACTGCCAAAACTACACTTGCTTATCTTGGCATACAATGTATGAATTCCAAGCGTGGTAAGTACTTGCCTTAAGTGATTCACATGTTGTTCCTCGGAAGGGCTATACACCAGTATGCCATAAAAAAACACTAGTAAAAACTTCCTTAAGAAAGCTTTAAACAGGTCATTCATTAAGCTTTGAAATGTTGAGGGTGTATTAGTAAGGCCAAATGGCATGACAAGAAACTCATAATGACCACCATGAGTTCTAAATACAGTCTTATACTCATCCCTAGCATGCATTCTAATTTGGTGGTAGCCAGACCTGAGGTCAATCTTAGAGAAAATAACAACCCCGTGCAATTCATCTAAGAGTTCTTCAATCACAGGAATAGGGAATTTATCCTTTACAGTGGCTTTGTTGAGGGCTCTGTAATCGATACACATTCTCCAAGTGATGTCCTTTTTCTTTACAAGAATAACTAGGGAGGATAATGGACTATTAATGGCTCTTATAACTCCAGTGTCTAGCATCTCCTTAATGATCTACTCTATAATGTCCTTTTGAATTGATGAGTGTCTATAGGCCCTTAAACTGATAGGATTAGTGTTATCCTTCAATAATATCTTGTGATCATGTGCCCTATGTGGTGGTAACCCTCTAGGTTCATCAAAAGCATCATTGAATTCATCTAAAAGAGCCTGAGTGGATATAGGGATTACTGAAGTTCTTGATGTCAACTGCATAATTAAGGGAAGTGCAGCTGATTCTTCCTTACTCTTGATACAAATTGTAAGGAACTGAACTAGTCCACTATGAGTGGCTTTCTTTAGCTGTTGAGACAAGGTTTTCTCAGGTACTGCCATCACTATTGCAATTTGCTCACCGAACAACACTATTTTTCTACTAGCTAAGGTGAACTCCATTCTCAAGGTTTTCAAGTTCCAAAGGATATCACCAAGTGTATCCAACCACTGTATTCCAAATACTAGCTCACAACCACCTAAATTAAGTATCAACAAATCAGTTGTAAACACATACCCTTGCATAGACCAAGTGAAGCCTCTACAAATTGCACTACAAGTCAACAACTTTCTTTTTGTCACCTTGGTTGAGAGACTCCTTGTAATTTCTAGTGCACAACCCATCTTCTTTACCTCTATTGCATCCAAAAAGTTTTGTGAACTTCCTGGTCCACCAATGTATGCAAATTCCTCCTCTTATAAGAGATAGTGATCCTCGTGGTGTTATTTTGAGTGATTTCAATTTGCCCTAACAGAGCATGGGGAGATATTAAGAGTTATAGATCCTCTACTAGTGCTTCTTCCTCAATTAGTAGATGTTCCCTTTCACTCTTTCAGTAGTATAAGTCTCCCCTTCACAGACAATTGATCCACCTTCTTCTTCTTCTTCTTCAACAACTATAATGGAATACAACTATTTTCCCTTACACCTATGCCCCGGTTCATATTTATCACTGCATGTAAAGCACAATCCCTTGGCTCTTTTCTCCTCTGACTCCTTATTAGACAAGGTTCTAGTATTTTTGGAGTTACCCTTGTTCAGAGGTTGTGCACTGGGAGGTAATGGTAGGATTTCAAATTGATTGTTTCTAGCTGAGAGAGTTGGTGGTGATGGCCTTGGAAGCAAGGGTTATTGTGAGGGCAAAGGCAATAAAGCCTAGTGGGGTTGTTTCATTAATATAGGAGGTTGAGGCCTTGGAAGGGACTGATACTGTGGTTTGAGGAGGGTCTTGGCCACTACAAGTAATGAATCATTAGTGACCTC